GAGCCAACAAATGGCCGACACTTGGCATGCCAATCACCAAATGCTTTGTGACAAATTATATGAACGCCATGACTCAGCCAAGCTTTGGCCCCAGCAGCGAAGCTCAAATCCTACTTGGCCTGCTGAAATTGCGATATATCAGAGAGAACCTGAGTATATTATAGGAGCTGTACAGAACGATACGGGTAATGAAATATTGACGATGTATTAATTATCCGGAGGTCATATCTCTGAATCTCGAGTCATCTGTCTATTGCAGACGTTCCTCATCTCCATCGGTTCACGACCTTCACGGCTTTCTGTCGACTCACCAAGTCGGTCATATATATATCAGCACGTCCAGTAAGCCATCTTGTATAGCAACATCATAGCCACCACCGAACCCTGACATTTTCAACGATTGATCTATGCTCGTGCAAACAATACCATTTTTAGAGCAAGTGGTTTGTCCCGGTAATTAATACCTCATGTCTGTACGTTTAAGGTGGAGGCCACCTCTGACGTTTCCAAAATATATTCTCATCGGAATTGCTCCGGAGATAACCAAAATAGTTCTTGACTATTTGTCATGATTATTTATTACTACAAACTTCGATAAAAATCCCGGTGAAGAGGAAATTTTGTTTATCTCGACGAACCCGTTCCGCGGAAACATTTCCTTCAATTATTTTTAATTATTTATCAAATTTTCCCAATTACCGATGAACCTGGGAAGTTGTTATAACAACTTCGGGAGTGACCAATTATTTCTCGTGCTTATTTCTCAATTGTAAATTTTATCGCCACCATCATCGATTGCCTGTTTTCTACTCCCAATATCTCCGAGAAGACTTACAGTTTTCCCTTAGGATATTCCTCTGTACTAAAAGCGGGACTTCTTCAAGCCGAGGGCTACTTCTCGCTAAAGATTGTAAAAGTTACAAAATACCAAGCAACCATGCATTCCTCTCTAGTACCCGAAATATCTCTTGGGCAATGGAGCACGAAGTGAATTGAAAGAGGAATTCGACGTGGCGGTTTCTTTCTCTCTCAACTACAGATTACTTTTCGATTCAACTGTGTCGGCCCACTTTCAATCTCCGCTACCCTCCTACATCCTTGAGGCTGACTCGCAAAACTTCTTATGCTTATCCATCGACCATTCACGAAGGCCAACGTGAATAAGATCGAGAAAGGGAAGTAAGGAGAAGAAGCGCAGAAGTGATCCGGAACTCTTAATGCTAATGTCAGTAGAAATTCTCAGTGGGACTCAGGGTATGAGAAGAGAATGGGGACTACAGTAAAAAATTGGTTAGATATGGGCGAGGAAGAAAACCCGAGTTCTTTCAATCTTCCGCTTCATCCCAGGATTTTATTCTACACGAGCATTTAAAAACTTTATATCCAACCGGACGTTCTAAAATTTGATCGGCCCGAGCTATTGCTGTTATATATCCCCTCTGAGGGTAAGACAATCTATATAAACCAATTCTATATTTACATTTTAAGGCTGTTATACCTCCTTCACTCCTCACCACTGCAATCCTTTTTTTTGTCATACCCCTTTTCCACCCCATCTGATGTTTCACTATACGCAGTGGGTGCCATTTCAACGCCTCCTTGTTCTTTTCCTCCACTAGTACCCATAGTACTCATAAAAGTAAGCGGCTTGGGTAGTATTTTCTACGTAACTAAATTGGATTGGCAGTTTATTGGCAATATTCGTTCGTCGAAGCGACACGCCAGAGTTTGTGCACGACTAAAAGAAGATAAAAAAAAAAAGGGAAAGGGGTAGAGAGAGGAACGGAACATCGTCGTAGCTGTGTCACCGGACCCCAAAAATGAGAAAAAATAAAATAGAACGAAAAAGGAGAGAGGAGGAAAAAAAAAATTGCCGAGTTGGCTTGAAACTCTGAACGCCTCTGCACGATGTACTTGCGCACCATTCCTGGGGACCTCCACTGTGCTTTTCTCGTGTCCTGAATAATCGCATTGAATTTGCGCCCCCCTCTACCCCTCCGATAATTTGATCACCCTGTAAAGTAACTTCCACTAGGAGTGGTAAGCTATCGTGCCTCAATCCAAGACCGAGAAAAAGGGGAGACTCGAATCTAAATTTCCTCTCCCATGCCAATGTTTGTCATTTCTCCCCTCTCGGTTTCTTTATTTGGCCTTTCTGTAGGTAGTTACTTTCATTTTCACTGCGTTACTTGGGAAAATCTAGGCACATTGGGGTGAACTCACGCAATTGCCAGACGTATATTCGTCTCTCGAACAAAAAGAATGATTTCGTCTATCCCACTTTTTTTTTTTACAACGGCCATCAATACTTGGACCCTTATTCCCACCCATATTTCTTCCACAGCAGTGGAAATCTGAGGAAAACTGAAATATCCCCCTCTGGTAATTTCTCTCCGTTCGCTATTATTATATATATTACGATATTAGTTTTTACCCAATATTTGAATCGAGCCATTTGCATCGAGTGCTAGATCGGTGAAGGTTTTTTTTTTTCTTTCCATTTTATCCTAGAATTTTTTTGCGCCATTTCGCCCCGAGCATGGCTATTTTTTCCTCATCCCTTTCTTCGACGATTATGGCGCAGGGGAGAATAAAAAAAAATAGCAATTCTCATTGAATGGGGAGAATGTAGCAGGGTAAGAGCTCGGTACTGCGTACAGTGGGTGGTGAGGGGTGTAGGGCATTATCGACAAGCCGATTTGAACTATGCAATGCTTGGAATTTAGTTAACGGTATACACTGCTCGATGATTACGAGAGCAGAGCCAATCAATTCGCTTAATTCGAAGCGAACTGAACGGGTGGGGGGTAGAGATGGGGGGGTGGGTTTGAGTGGGGATGGGGGGGGGATTGGGACTTGAATCACCGACGCACTGGTGCCAGTTGTAGGTCGACAACCCATCCTCCAAAATGTAATAGCGTATATGTCCATTGCTCGCAAACGGAGATTTGCAGCTCTCGCCCTGGATACCAATGAATTCGTTGTGATTTATGAATTCACGCGTTGTACCTAAAAGCTCTGTATGTATAATTCGTCGCTTGTGCTTGTGTACTCAGACACAGTGGTAACACCAATACTTATGCGTGTACTACTGTGTTTACATTTAAACTGTAATATTCCATTGTTCATTTTCTGGGCTTGCTTTGGTGATTAATTGAAATATATTATAATTAAAATTCAACAATAGCTCGATTCATCATTTATTGCGTTGAAATATGAGATTTCATCAGCGGATGTTTTAATCGATTGAAATTGACCTGCGTTAGTCATGGAACAATCTCTGGTAAAGAGAGAAAAATTCCACTTGAGTGGCAGAGACCAGTGATGGAATAAAAACGGTAGCTTTCAATTTGGGTATAAAGAGAGAGTTTGTGCAGCAGCCGGAAAATAAGTGCACTATGGGGAGACAGCGTCGTCAGACCCTAGAATAGTTTTTTTTTTTTTTTCATACGGAATTTTTTCTTCAAGTCCAATATGCTAAATTGAGGAAATTACTTTATAAATATTGTAATAAGTCAACGACAGTCACAAGTCTTCAGATGCAGTTATTTAATTTTGCTACTTCAGATTCCAACATTGTATTATATTGCCAGGAGAAAATAATGAGAAGACTGGTGTATTTTTCCTACACCGGTATATATTGAATGTCGCGGGAAAAGTTTTCAGATCAATAAGACTCGCAGGTCAGAGATATTCAATTTGTACTTTTTACCTTTTAACCTCTGACTCTTTGCAATTTTCTGGCTATACTTATCCCTGAAAATCAGTGGGGATCGTTAAGTCTCTCAAGGTTTATCGGGAATTTCTCGGTTAAGCAGAATAGCAACGCTGTGGGCTGAAGAGGTAGCAGAGGAGAAAGGAAGGAGAAAAGCGAATAGCGGCAACTTATTTTCATAGAATATCTCTCGAGTGAATTTCCAATTTTCCAGCTTTTTGTCCACTTTAAGATAGAAACGGATCCAATTTGCGAAGGTTGCGGTTCTCAAGGGATAACTCCCACCCTCTCCCCCTTACCTCCCTCCTTTTTTTAGTTTTACTGCGATTCTACTACTCCCAAGAAGCACAAGGGTATTGTCTGACCCCCGTGATTTATCGTATATTCCACGTATCGAAATTCTCAACAGAAAAAAAGAAGAAAAAATTGTTTACCTGAAAAAAAAAAATTCAACAGAAAGGAGGAGTGATGGAGGACCAATTGAAACTCAATTTCATTCAATTTCTCTTCACATATCTGAAATAATTCACTGCTCAAATGGATTGGAAGCACTCGTGGCAAAAAAAAATGGACACTACCTCTAACCCACTTCTTAAATCCATATATTATATAAGTTGGCATTAAAATGAATCACATCCTGCTGCCAGCTTCCCACAAATGTCACAACACAACATGTCAACACAGTGCCGGGAACGTCCGAACATTCACATATTATCAAGGGGCCAAAGGCTGGAGGCATGTGAAACAACTAAGCGATTGCTTCAATCTCTCTCAGACACACTCAATAGTTGATGCAGTCCCCTGTGCTATCCCTTTTCCCCTTCTCCTAGGTTTCCTGATATTGACTATGTCATCATTGAAAGCCTGTCATTAGGGAGACACGTAATATTAATGCATGTTGCAGGTATCCTGGATGCGAAAGCGAGACATGCATATATTAAGTGCTGGTATATCAACGTATACAACGGATTTACGATTTCAAGTTATTCATCCGGACAGATCTGAGAATTGGACATTGCAGATAAAGTCACCCCAGCCAAGGGATTCGGGTACGTACGAGTGCCAGATCAGCACTGAGCCGAAGATGTCGCTCAACTATACACTCAACGTGGTTGGTGAGTGCGCTTTGAATTATTCAATTCATTGGGGGGGTATGGGTTCGATGAGGGTGAGGAATAAATGGATAAAAGAAAGGGATGGACATTCTCATAAATCCAGGCTAACCGGATGGGACAGACTGAGGATTCAAGGGAGGGCCGCTCATTTTTTTTTTTGCCAATTTTTTCGTATTGAGAAAGTCACTGAAGTCATCTACAGGTGACCCAAAATATCCTCGGACATGATTTGATGTTGTCAAAAAAAGTTTTTTCCAATACGTGTCCTTCTAACTACACCTTTGAACAACCACCTGCTCCACCACTCATGTCAACGTATTTCATCATAGTAGGAGAGAGAAAAAAAAATCGAAAATATATGTGTGACAAAATTTACGCGCAACTCGTGTGCCATCTACGCTAAATCCCGCAGGTGGTGCAAAAAGAATTTAGCATTTCAGAGAGGTATCCGCGAGGATCCTCACGTCCCTCTTCTCTCCCCTATCACCATCACCAGTACAGGCTTCCGTTCATTCGCCGTGTCGTCGCGGGGTAAATCTAACGTTAGTATTCGCAGGGATTTCAGGATTCCCAGAGGACTCAGATTGTCGACGAGAGAACAACGATTTATCCGCTCTACTCATCTCCCCAAAGACACGATGAGACGCTTCTGCATTCGTCTCCTTTTCCGCACTTTCTTGTACTCTCAGTCTCACCCTTTACACCCCTCGAGCCCCTTCCACCCTCTCTCTATCACTCCTTATCAGCACGTTCTCGCCCCTAACAATTCTCCCAATCCTTGACCGTACCTGCACTAGCGAATTCCTCTATCTCTTTTGGTTGAACAATTCCGATGGACGCATCTCCCTTAACTTTTTCCTCTAGCTCCACTCAACCCATTTCATTCCATTGGTAAATGGGTAACAGCCACACACTGAGTGCCAATCTCATTATCGTGGAAAACCCGATGATCCTTTCATTGCAGCGAAGAAGAGCCTGAGAAAAGAGCTCACCATCAGCCCACTCCCTCCCCTTCCTCTCTTTACGATAATAAACGACTTTCCATTAAAATTACCCCCCCAACCATCCACCCTTCCTCCACTGCTTAACCACGTGTCCAGACTCTGAGCCGTAAATATCTGAAATCCACATGCCGTACTACGATTTTTCACAGTGAAAAATGTTTTTTGGAATACGACTATATCCCGGGAGAAAATGTATGCAGCCAAGTCCTCGAGTGTATGCACCCCTAACTCCTTATACGCACATGCAATAATCCAGTGAGATTTATTACCGAGTTATGTAATACGGCTAAAGGGTTTCTCCGTAAATTTCCTCTAATTGTGTAAAAGTCGGAGAAATATTATATAGGGGGTGACGAGGGGGCTAACAGTTGGAGCGTTAACGGGCGTTCAATTAAACTCGAACATGATGCAGTTGGCTCGTGCAGCATGGAGAACAATTTATGCTCTATTCGGGTGGGAAATTGGGGAGAGGGCAATTACTTCTCTAAATTCTTCAAAGTTCGTGAAAATTCACTGAATCATCGGGGAGATTTCATGGTTGTAAAATGAGAAAACAGGATAATAAACTATCGGACAAATGATACATTTGTCCAGCTCATCCTCAACCTCCAACCTTTTGCATGGCCAAGTATTAAACACTCGTTGGGTATAAAAAATTTATTACCATGCATTTTGGTCAGTAAAACGACATGGCAGATATTTACGTCGATAAACCATCGGCCATTTCCCTAGAAAATACCGTTTGGATGGGTGATGGGAGGGGGGGACCTATCTGTGTGTGTTCAAACGAGAGAGATTGTGTCGTGGGTTTGCATGAACTGAGTGAGAAATGAAAAGAGGGGAAGGAAGGGGTAAAAATTGTCGTCCGAGCACAAACACAACCCGGAACTCGGATATACGGATTCTCAATTTTAGGAGCAGGTCGAACCATAACTTCTCGTTTTCCTGGGGGTGGTAGGAGGAGAGAGGAGAAAAGTTGTGAGACTCTGGGGCCAGTCTGAGTGCAGTGAATCCATACAAAAGGGGGACAGATAGGGGGACGGATGGGGGTGGTACGGGGAGAGAAATTGCGAAAACAAAGTCAGTGGCGTCTTTTGCTCTTCTCGATCGTGCGAGAGGTAGGAGTTGAACTAGAGTGAGTATACGAGTGCACTTGCATTGCGCACTTGCAGAGGTATGTGAAAATAAGGGCATAAAAATGGTAGTTTGTTTTTTTTTTTTTCTACAGTGGTGACAGAAAGTCGAGGGTAACATTTCCCGTTGATCTCTAGATACAACTTGAAAATACTTGTGCCATTTGCCAGTGCGGGTCGACACGCAGAGAACAAATGACACTGGCATCGAAATATATATGCACCATGTCCACACGTACAAATCTCGGTAAATGTAGGTGAGAGCAAGAAGTGATAAATGTATTTGCAGTGATTCGTAATACAGATATCACGCGTCAGGTAGAAATTTCCGTTATACGTGAATAATCGTTTTAATCGTTTTAATCGTTTTAATGTTATAATGGGAGACAGTGGTGGCGGATGCGGATGTTGAGAGGGCTTTTAGGGGTAGGGGCAAGGGGGTGAATTTAGCCCCCGCTGTAATCGGGCCGAAATGTCGACGGTATAACACTGCCACCCATAATTTCAGTCATTAATCAACAGGATCATCGGTTATATTCGTTTTCGTTGATATTATGAAGATCTTGTTATACGTGCCCTCTCATTTTTACATTATTTTTCTATACTGTTGATCATGTTTCTTTGTCGGCTTGTGTGGATGAGTTATTTATCACCGGAAAATCTGTGGAGCGGGCATTGACATTGATAAATATTCTCTTATTCCACTTTTAGAAGTAGAATTACACAAATTCGTGTAATTGCGAATAGAAAATTTAGCAATTAAATAGATATAAATGATAATTAATAAAATTCAATTTTTTTCAATTCAATGAGCATGAAGAAAAATGTAATGAAAAATAAAATAAATAAATAAAATGTATAATAAGTTCGTTGGAATATTATCGAAACAATGGAGAGTCTACTTTCCATTCAACCGCAAGTTCTCTCGATTACAAGTATTTCAAGATGAAGTACACTTGGCTCAATGCCCATTCGAGTATTATTATCTATATCCATTCATTCATCGTCATTCTCTTTCTTCTCGAGCATTAGCTTTGCCTACTCGAATGATTCTCATTCAGCCACCACCGAATTCATTGATTAAATTTAAATCGTATCTCCCACGGCGTCTCCCACTCGATTTCTTCAATTCGATCGAGGAAATTATCCTTCGACTTTGCGAAACGATCAGAATAAATTTCATCCCAGACTCAGCGGAAATTATGATGATATTAAAATTGAAGTTCCGCGATCTCGCCCTCAATTAGTCGTTATTTCCAATTTTTCAAAATTTTGTATCGAAATGAAAAAAAAAATAATAATAAAAAAATTACGCATTAAGTAATGGTTAGATGTTCTCTGCCAAATAGGCTCGGTCAACAGCTTGGTTTATCTGTCCTTCTTCAGCGTTCACGTAATCTTGGAGTAAACTGATGAGACTGAGTCGTTGAGTGCTGTAAAATCTCCACAGGCTTGAGCTTGGAAAAAAAAATGTTGGAAATGCCAAATCGGCTTTGGTGCCGTGTGCGACGATGAGTGATAAAAAATTCCCCCGATGTATCGATTATATCCACAATAAAACGAGTATGTCTGTCGTATCAATTTAACTATACACCTATCTTGGCTCCGTTTGAGTGTGTCAAGTGAGTGAGTCTCATGAGATATCAGGAGGAAAAAGTAGAAGGAATAAAAAAAAATGAAACAGCCCGAAAGATTTCAAAATAAGGTATCGTTCAAAATGAAAGAATTGAACGGCAGCGCACTAAAAGTTTCCTATCTACTGCTGTCGTAGAGGAAAATTGGAATGGAGGCGAATAGAGCGACGACTAAGGAGAAAAGAATTTTTACTTGAGTGAACACTTGGTGAGACGCTCAAAGGAAAAATGTCTGGTGAAATGTGTTGCGAGGAAGAGTTTTACAGTCTTTTTTGGTATTGATTCGTCTCTTGATTGTGAGGATCTGATTTTCTTGCGGACAGTCACCAAAGCACACGTTAAAAAGGATAGCCCCACGACGAAATACTTTGTACTGTGCCATTATCAGTCAACTGAGGACATATTAAAATTAAAATGAGAAACAGCAGGAAAAATGGTAAAACTATCTCAAATCATATCAACCTCGATATGTCTAGAAATAAAAATTGTAATCATTAATTGTAATCAATTGTAAAAAAATACTGACAACCTGCAGTAAGTCCGATAGGCTGGCGCAGTGGATTTCTTCACCTGACGCATGAATGGTCAAACCTGAATATTATCTTCTGTATATTCGCGAAAATAATTCGGCAACTGATAAAATGAAATGAAATACCATTAAAAAACGGGAGGATAAAGGAAAACTGGAACCATCGTAAATTAACTGGACCATCGATACCCAGTGCAAAAAGCTGTTACAAAAAGTGACAGGTGAGCCATTAAAGATTACCAGGCCCATAAATCTGTCCAATCAACTCGTTTTTTTTTTCTCTTTTATTCCATTTTTATTAACTTTCTCATTTATTGCTCTACTTGCATCTCTTGCATCTCTTGCATCTCTTGCATCCATTGCATCTCTCCACTACCATCAGCATACGAGTACATTTATTTTTGTTTACTCGTAAACGTCGTTCCCAATTCGCTATCACCTAACGATCCTCTTTCTCTGTCTCGTACATTCTACACCCCGCCCATCTGCCCCTTATTTCGGTATCGCTCCGTCGCCTAGATTCCGCATAACTGGCAAACATACGTACCCAAAAGTACATGAACAGTAGGTAAATAATTGTGCGAGTTTACTCAATCTAAAAGTTGGTTGTGCGCCAAGATGGATTACTTCGAGTTTAATTTATGCAAGACAGGCTCAGACCTTTTCGCCTAAATTGAACGTAGACGGGATGCCTCTCTTG